GTTATCGGGTTTTGTTCAAGTGACCACCCTCTTTCGATCCCCCACCTCCACCCGCTTGAAAATAATTTTTTTATTGAATTTTATTTGAATTATAGTGTATGAAAATTGTCAAAATAATCAACTTTCAACCCCCATAACTTTTTATGGGGGTGAGACCGCCGCAAATTTTTTATGGAGTTTTACTCAGGTGACCACCCTCTTTTGATCCCCCCTACCCCACCCCCATCTTACCCCCATAAATTTTTATGGGGGTGAAACCGCCACGAACTTTTTATGGTACAGTGGTGGGGGAGACCTTCTCTTTCGATCCCACCATGGGGGCCATCATCTAGACATTTACCGAGGACTCAATGGAAGTCAATAAGAAATAGGCGAGATAGGTTAGTAAGACACGTTCTCAGGCATGAAGGTCTAATCAGAGACATATTAGAGGCAGAAACGGGAGTTAAGAGGAGTAGAGGTACACCTAGATTAGATTATTGTTCGCAAATAGTTAAGGATGTGGGCTGTTCCAGTTTTAGGGAAATACGAAGATGAAGATGATGAAATAAGCCATTGTTTTATTATTTTGAAAGATTGCTGGAATCCTTTATTATATTTTCAGGGGCTGAAATTTATTCACAAATCGATTTTCGAGATCTGACCCGTCGACTGTGTGTACTCGTGGTGGAAGGATTAGGTGGATGTGTGGTAATTTTATGGCTGCTTAAAAAGGATGAAATATTAAGACACACCTACAAACTACAGAGACAAATTCGTACTTTAAAAACGGATCCGTTGGTTAATTACCAAAATTTATTTAAAACTGCCTCGACAAACACCAAATTGGTAGGGGTTTTATATTCCGCGTGTGGATGGGTTAACCTTTTTTTAATTTAATAGGTGCAATTCAAACTTTCCTTATTTGCAAACTAGTTGGAAATTGGAACATTTCTTCAATTAGCACATAAATAAGTCAATAAATAGGAAAGAGAAACTTACGTGATAGTCCCCTAATATAATAACTAGAAATGCAGGAAATTATCTATTGATCACGCAATTACATCGTTAAATGAATTTTAATAAGTTTAATTGAAACTGATCACATGGCGACAGGCAAATACATTGGAGATCATTTTATGAAAATTTCCACGACCACATCAGTCGAACCCAACTAGGGTATTAGCATTTAATGTTTTCGGCAATTTTAAATATTAACTAAAATGCCCAATTGGCCAACGTCTCACGATAACGTCAGAGAAGAAATCGAAAATTTTGTAGGCTACGGAGAAAGAATATTAAAACAGTCCCTTCTGGAACCGCTTAGCAACAAAATTTCTCGCATCTATTTGGGGTTTTGCTGTTTTATTTACATACCTTTGCAGGTCATCGACTTATTTCTGCATGATAACATGGTACCAGGTGAGTATTTACATATACTGATGTAGATTTTCGCTTTTATTAAACGAAACGAGTAGAATAAGTTAGAACTCCCAGATGGACGAAAACAATAAAAAAAGATATAAAAATTCGTTAATGAGCGTTTTTGGTGTAATTCAATGTCCTTATCAAACTTGTGATTCATTTGAAATAGTCCAATAAACGTTATTTTCTATTTGTATTTGAATATACCAAATGCCAACTACGATGCCTAATTATAAAGACCCTTTTACACAGAACGTGTATTGCCGATGCCAAGATTCATATTTTGTATCAGTATCATGTCCCTAAAAATCAAATTACTCTACGTTTCCCTGGATAAACTAGGCACATAGTTTAAAGTAAACAATAAAACATGGATTTTCTTCTTGTAAATTGTTGTTAAATAAAATGGATGTGGTACTGACAAAACAGTACTGTATAAAAATAAATAAAAGTAAAACAATGATACTGGTATGCAAGGGATGAAAAATTGGAAAAGAGCGAATATAAAGATAGGAGACGAAAAATTAGAAGAAGTGGTCGATTTTAGGTATCTAGGAAGTCAGATAAGTCAGGACGGAAACCGTAGTAGGGATATAAAGCAGACGATAGCGCAGGCTCGAGTCGCCTTCAATAANCTCTTAAATGAAAAAGAATCATAAATTTAGTACTAATGTTTTGACTATTTTACTATTTTTTGCTGTAATAACCTGTTAATCAATTAGTTGCTTCCACTGTAAATATAACTTATGATTAGATCAATAATTTTAGATCATAAAGTGGTGGAATTCATTAGGAGACTACTATATTTTTAGGTACAGACATCATCTTTATGGGACTGGTTAATCTAATACGTTTTCATTTCGAAATACTAAAGGTAGCCTTCAAGACAGCCAGCACACGATGCAAAAAAAAACGGCGAATTATAAATAACAAACAAAGTACTTATGAAACGTACATTTGCGCTTTAAATTTACAAATGGAAAAGGAAATAAAATCACTGGCTATCTATTACAACGATATTCTGGAGTTAGTAACTGAAAATTAAAATTTTGTAAACTAAAATCGATTCAGATTAGAGACAGATCGACTGTTTAGCACTTATCGTTAAATGAACACAGTAAAAACAGTAAAGTCAAGAAATTATTTACTAATTAAATGTGTAGCCTTTTAAACAGATTTACGTAATATTATTGATGCAAATAAGAACAAACAACAGACTGAATTCAAAGTCAAATAACGTATTCATTTCTGGTCATATCCCTCATCAAATAATACTAAATCAATCAATTTCGATTAATTTGGTATCATTTAGTGCGAAATATGATACGAAAATAATAAGTTATTTGACTTTGAAATCGCCAATTTATTCTATCGATTATTATCTGTAGAAAGTTTTGTTTAAAAAATATTTGAAGATACGGGAAAGTGCAGTTTACAACACTCTCCTTGAAGTTAGCTTCAAATATTGCAATACTGCCAACATAACCTAAAAGGCTAAATCGCAGAGGGCCCATACATATCCATAATGCAATAGGGCAGGCAACTACCATGACGACTACAAATTAACAAACGGAAGAAAATGAACAACGAAATGTTGTCTTTTTCTACGATAACTTCATGAAAATCATAATTCTAAACATATCTGTCAAAAAAGAAAGTTGGCAACACTTCGAAAGTTTGTCCTTTTGTGGAGCCAACTTCAGAGATGATGTTAAACTGCACATCCACTCTAAAGTGCATTCAATGATGCTTCAAATTCTAAAAATTACAATTCCTACATCTGACGTGCTAATTAAAAAAATTTGTAGATACTGCAACACAATAGGAAATTACGTAAATGACATATTGCTAACTGAAATTTCATTATCAACGATATCGTTAGGTATTCTGCTATATACGGTTCAAGATGTATGTAATTCTTATAACTTTTTAATGTTGTCGAAATGTTCAAGGACCTTTCTTATTTTAGCCAAGTAACGTGAGTGTCGAAATATTTGCAACACAAATGGTATTTTTATTTAGCTGGACTGTAAGGCTATTTTTCTTTTGTTATTGTGGACAGGCTGTTGTGGTACTATTAATAAATGCTATAATACAAATCAAACAAACGCAAAAACAGCACATCTGGAAAATACGTAAATTTTAGGTTGACGATTTACATCACAGTATACGAGGGTGGATTGATAAGTTTCCGGCCTGACCAAGAAAAACAAGGTTTTTAAAAATTTTTTTTTTTTATTTCTCAACAAATTCTCCTCCAAGGCTGATACATTTCTCATAGCGGTGTTCCAGTCTATTAATGCCATCTCTATAGACTGATTCGTCAAGCTCCTCAAAATAACCATTTACAGCTTCGANTATAATACAAATCAAACAAACGCAAAAACAGCACATCTGGAAAATACGTAAATTTTAGGTTGACGATTTACATCACAGTATATTTGAAACTGACTGGATGGTAACTTCACAATCGTATAAAAGCTCTATGAGATTAATTTTGATACGAATGAGAAAAACATTTTATATAAAATTGGGCAAATTTAAACCACTCAACCTTGCAACATTTGTTCAAGTGAGTGTAACCAATTTTTATGATTTTACTTGCATGTACAACAATTGCAAAATCGGAAATCGTTAGGTAATCTTTAAGAAAAGCCTTCGACTTCGTGTACATTAAATACGCTCTAATAACGAAGGAAATATATGCCTCGTAAGAAATCAACTTTGAAAGGCAAACTAATTTAATTTAACAGAAACCAAAGAATTTTGTAATAATTTAAGTATACTTAGGTAAGTATAAAAACAGACTTCAAAACTTTGCTTTAACTAAAAAAGTTAAAAACGGGAATTATCCCCCAAGAAGTTTCCACCCTTTCAGGTGGAATACATTCATTCAAATTTAAAAGGAACTACCCTTGAGATATTTCTATTCCAGTAAAAAAGAATAATTTAAAAATCAGCTTAAAAATAATGCATAAACTTCTATAATTTAACAATTTAGAAACCATTAATAACTTCTGTTTTGAAGGTATCCGTTGTTCTAAAAACTACTCAAATCACTTCCAATTAGATACAAGCCTAATGGTATTAAATGGTATGATGTATATACCTATATACAATAAAAAATTTTTGAAACTAAGGAGTTTAAAAGTATCAAGTGATTTAGCAGTCACGGAATAATCGACCAATAAGTTAAAATCAATGATGTAGGTAATTTTGTAATTTCCGACTTTTGATCTAGTTTTCGAACTTGAAAATGGCTCCAGAATCGCCTTAGCATATTGAAATTTCAATTACAGTATGGTATAAAAATAAATAAAACTAAAACAAAAACACTGGTATGCAAGGGAAGAAAACGTAGAGAAAGAGCGAATGTAAAAACAGGAGACGAAAGAAAAAGTGGCTGATTTTAGGTGTCTAGGAAGTCAGATAAGTCAGGTCAGAAGGAATAGTAGGGATATAAAGTAGAGGATAGCGCAGATACAGTCGCCTTCAATAAAAAAAAAATACTTCTATGCTCGCGAACGATTAATTTAGAAATTCAAAAAAGGTTGTTAAAGGTATATGTTTGGACGGTAGGCGCGGAGGAAAAAAAAGGTTAAAAGCGTTCGAAATGTGGTGATACAGGCGAATGAAGAAGATACCGTGAATAGAGGTTAGAAATAAAGAGATATTAGAAAAAATAGGAGAGCAGAGGGCTCTATGGAAGTCAATAAGAAGTTGTCGAGAGTTGACAGGACACCTTCTCAGGCATGAAGGTCTAGTCAAAGACATACTAGAGGCAGAAACAGGAGTTAAGAGGAGTAGGGTCAGACCTAGATTATACTTTGGCAATTATAAAGCCAGATTCTAATTCAACGACAAAAGATGCCCACGAAATGGCTCCTCTATTAACAGTTCGTTGTTTTGTCCATCTATTTCAAGTTATAATGCTCTCTTCAAGAGCAAAAATTGTATTTCTTGAGCATTGAGGATATAAAACTTTTAAATCCTAATGTGGTGAAACAATTATCAATCGAAAATGACATCCTTTTCGTTTTGTAATTTTTTATAATCCCACAAGTCTAAATGTTATTTTTTATTATTTATTTTTACCATTAAATTTTCAAAATGCCTCTCACTGAGTTGAACTGATTACGAAAAATGTACGGAGTATTAAAGAAACACTCTAAGACAACAAACGTGTTGCCCTTTATTTTATTAAAAATCACTTAATATACAATAAAACGTTTCTGATAGTCTTTAAACTCCTCCACCTCCTTGCATCCTCCCACAACCACAGCCACAATACCCAGTATTGAAAAAATACTTTTTTCGTAATTTGGAAACCGAACATTTTTGGAGTTTTATATAATACATATACGTAGGTACACCAATATAAAACAAATAGTGTTACTCCTTAACAAACACTTTGCAGAAACAATTGTTTTCAATTGGTTAACGACTTGCAGTGATGAATGAGAGACAATGGAAAGATTTTTCAATTAAACAAAAGACTGACGGTCAATTAAATAATGCAACTAGTAGGATACCTACTAACTAGACGTTTAAATAAAAACATACTTACGTATTTTATTTTTTGGTATTTTTACATGTAAAATATGAACTGAAAACAGAATGATTTAATTTTCAGATTCTGAAGACTGCTTATTCATTTTTTGCCGTCTTGCGGACAAAGAATTCTTAACTCATCAAAAATGGATTACATAACTAACAGTTTTAGATTTACACTAGATTAGTATTAACAGATGGTATTTAGATATACGACTGTTATAATTAAACCAGTTAATCACAACAGCAATATCATTCGATTAATAATTACATCTGAATTCCAGTCATTCTTCGGAAAAACTTGAAAGGATCAAGTTTTCTGAAATAATACTAAGGAATTGTTTTGGGAACACAAGATTTTTGCTAATTCTCTTTACTTAGCACAACAACAAATAATAACGACGACGAAAAAATATAAAAAAAAAAATACAAATAGCACAATATTACATAAGAAGAAAAGAACACCATGAATGGAAATAAATGTACACATTACAATACTGGCAAAACTCTGAACCAATATTCATCATATTACTCTGAACAATTTCAACATAGTATGATAAAGTTTTCATAAATCACTTTTAGGGTTCCGTATCTCGGATTAAAAAAATGGAACCCTTATTGGATCGCCTTACCGTTCATCACGAAGCAGCTAAGAGATATCTAGCTGAAATTCATAACGAATACACAAGTCGTCTAGCAGTATTTTAAAAAAAATAATTTTCTGTCTTAAAATCATCAAAAGATAATACCAATCAAAGTGTATTTTCATATTTACACACTATACTTCGTTTAGTTTCTTTAGCGATGTGACCTTCAGTTTGACCGGCGCAAAGTAGAAAAGAACAGCACTAGGCCAGAAAAAGAAGGAGACAACTCTCGGCCAAACTCTTAACCGGTGAGGAGCGTATAATCCGTACAGTACTGCACGGAAGAATTGACCATTTTATCCACTAAAATTGCATTGCTCAAATGCGCTGTTATTGGTACCATTTACCACTGAAAATATCAACAGGATGTTTATTTATATTTGAAGACATATTAAAGGCTTTAACGCTTGTTTTCGACTCGCACTACTATTCATGAGTGAACAAAACTTTTGGCAGGTACTGTATGAAAAAGTATGTTTAATGAACAAGAGTCGAGAGTATAATGAGCTTTTATCTCCCTACCTACGATTTTGCAGGCGCGCATCCAAGACATTGTGGCACATCGCTAGAGAAGGTAAATGAAGTATACCTTATTGGCTACATGAAACATCAAAACATAGAGGGTACTACAGACCTGACGCTCGAAACTGACGAAAATTTTAAAATGGTGTGAATGCGCGGTGGCTAAAGTAGGCAGTTTTAGTTATAACAATTGCCTTAAGGGGTGCTGATGAGGTATGATACGATAGAAATCGCAATAATTCAACGTGTGCTAGTTTTCCCAAGAACTTATTATGCAATGTTTTTAACTATATTTATTTTTTTATTATCCTTTTCTCTATGCTCATTAGTAAGCACTCTTACACCTGCATTTCTTTTTAACCAATGGAAAATGATTAAAATTCTGTAATTAGCTATTCATATTCTACGTGCATCATTATACATATACACCACCTCAATTAGGACCTGGCATCTACCATTCTCATATTGCTTATTAAATGTGAAAATAACCATACGACGAACTGATAATTCTAAAGTAAATAGAAGCATACAAATATATCCCTGGACTGTACTGTATTATTACGCAAGCAATGATTGAAAATGTATTTACTTAATTCCCAACAACATAATCACTTAATTGTATTCAATCAGAAGATGCTATATAGAAAATTAAATCACTACAAATGCATAGAGAAGTGATGCTAGGAAATTCCACCGTTACTTTGATTTAAACTTTTGTCTGAATAAAAGCGATTTAATTGTGAAACTACCCGGTAAATTAATTTTGTTGCGATGAACGTCGAAATAGAGGATGAAAATATGAACGAAGAAATGGAAGAAATTGAAAAAATTATGGGTTACAGTATGAAACTGCTCGATTTTGGACTATTGACTTGGTTGGGAAAAAAAATTAGTTACACGTATATATTTTTTTGTTTCTTCATTTATTTACCACTAGAATTTATCGACCTATTTTTCCATGACAATCTAATAGAAGGTAAAGTAAGTCCAGATTTAGGGTGAGTAAAATAATCCTAAAGATAAGTGTCGTTTGTCACATCGATTAAATTAAAGTCGTTTTTTTAATAATATGTTTTTCTTTTTAACGTTCGGTCTAATTGTTTAATTTTCATTCTTTGTTATTATTTCTGAAAAGTTCTCGTAACTTTTCTTTAACGCAACAGCTCCCGACAACGTTATTACAGTCTATTTGAATTTGTTAGAATTGTGACCTTGAAGAAATCTGCGCGAAGATAGAAAGAATACACACTAGGCGTGAGCAAGACAGAAATAGTTGGAACAAGCTTGAACGAGCAGAGCTCTCGATGGGCGGTCTTAGGAGATCGGCTAGAACTGTACAGTACTAGACGAAAATGTTTAGCCACTTCTTAAAACAAAAATGTATATAAATTAACAATAGAAAACAAAGCAAAAATTTTATAGGTGTGTAGAACGTTAAGTTAATTCTCTTGTTATTATTTTTGGCTAAATATGCTTTTAAATAAAGTATATTCCTAAATTTTAACGAGGCAGTTTAAATAATTTTGCAAATGGTACTGTACACTTTTGTCTAGTTCTCGCTCGATGATCGGTGGAGAAGTGAGCTCCGCAGACAAATATGATTGCATTTGGAATTATGTAACGGCGCAAGGGAAGGGGCATATCTCTAACTTCTTGAAACGAACAGTTACTGCTAACGTATCGATCGCCGCCTATGGCATTCATTTTTTTTTTCGTGCTGCTGCCGAGAATACACAAAACAACTGCCACGTATTAAATTCTCTTAATAATGGGAAATTTGCCTAAATATGAAATAGTAACTTATTCTTTTGAGAAAACTGAAAACATTTTGTAGGTGCTGAGGAGTATTCCCAAATTGAATTTCAAGACTTAGTACGACGAATATGCGTTCTCTTAATCGAACCTATACACGCATTTGTTATGATCATGTGGATAATTAAAAAGGATGAAATTATCAAACATTCCTGTAATATCCAGAAAAAAATTCGTACACTGAAAAAGGACCCGATTATTCGTTATAATAAAACGTTACATGACATCACCGCTGGCGCCAACATAATTTCAAAGGTGTACTCGGTTTGTGCCTGGAGTATAGCAATTTCAGCAACTTTCGGTGATTTTTTTGGGATGCATTTAAATTAAGATTAAGTTAACTAACAACCAGAACTAAATAAATAAGAAGGCGTTTAAGGATAACGGCATACTGTTTACTTATAATATACTTATCGCACAATTGATTTGTAGGGTCTCTGTTGGTATTAATTTTTGATGGCGATAAATTCACAGTAACAGTACAGGATCATTTTAATGAAACTGTCACATTTTTGTATACACAACAGTTACCTTACTATTGTTGGATTCCTTGGAACTATAGAAAATCTAAATTAGCGTTTACGTTCGCTATTTTTTTTGTAACACTTCCAACTGTACCGTATATTACCGGAGTACCAGGTTGGTGATAGCCAATAAACAGTGGCAGCACACACGTTGTTTCTGAAATAAGCAGCAAACTATGAAAGGTTTTAACTAGATATAATGGGGGATCGCATGGTGAGTAAAGTAGCATGGTTAAGGGACAAAAAGAAATTTGTAAGAAAAGCAGACGAAGTTGCAATCCAAAGCCGGCCCTGGTTGTGAATTGGCAACGTATAGAGAAATTGCGATAACAACCATATAACTTCATCGATGGAAAATGCAAACAGTGACGGTTGTGGAACGATTACTAAAGTAAATATCAACAGCTTACACTACACATAATTATCTTTAGACGCCCATTCCGATAACAATTAATTAAATAACTACTTTATTCATCGCTGATGGTATGCAGTGCTATTTAAAGTACAACCCGATATGGTGTTAGCAATACAAAATACAAAAGAAATACTCGTACAACACGAATACTGCAGCTGATTGAATACGGCGTTGCAATGTCGTATTTCTGTGCGTGATCGTACCAGGGCCGGACTGTTACTTGATTGTATTTTTTCTCAAAAACGGTAGACTTTCGGACCACTAATAATTCACTTAATTTTCTTGTTTCGTAGTGCCCAATCACCTCCGGCAAGCTTGATACTTATTTCAGAAACAACCTGTAGTATAAGTAATATGTGAAAAATAAAATGAACGAAATTAAATTCGAGTGGATCAGACAGCGCACAATAGCGATAAATGTCGATCTTTTTAGGTATGGACATTCTCTTTTTGGATTTGACTAATTTAATACGATTACACATGGAAATTCTCAAACGGGCTTTCAAGACTATTGGCGTAAGATGTAATAACACACTGGACATGGAGAAAGAATTAAAATCACTAATAGAATACCACATCGACATAATTAAGTTAGTAACCGCTTGTGAGGCAATTGTCTATTGATAGTATACCTATACATATCATACTTGGCGGATCTGAACTTTAATTGACTTGGGCCAAATTAGTTGGAATATATAGGTACCTCGGTTAACTAGCGGTAAATAAAAAATTCTTCTAAAAACACCATATTTTTCATAGTCAAAACAAGAGCTAAAGTTGAAGTTCGAATCCTAATAATAGCCGTTATTTCTTTAAGGGGAGGTTTTTTAGATAAAAAAATACCTTGATAAGAGGATGGGAAATTCGATATAGTTGTGTTTATTAATTTCACCATTTTGTTTCAATTGTTGAGGTTATTTATATTCACCATTTTTACCATAGTAGAGACAGTCTTGCTTAAAATATTCCTTATTTTAATATTCAGTAAATTAAATTTAAAATACTCAATACTCATTTCAATAGGTATAACAGTTAAAATGTATTCTGCAAATTCAAAAGATCTAATCAAAAACTTGAATTTATGGAATCTAAAAACTTGAATACACAAATTTCAGTCCAAGCCTGTCGTTTCAACTACATTTTCGACACCCAAGACATCTTTTGCGCTGCGGTTGCTATGAAAGGTTGTAACGTGTTGTAAAGTCAATTCTCTTATATCTTCGAGGCTACTATGTAATCCTCTTCAGCGCTATAACTTTACAATTTATCAAAGTTCAGCGGGTATACGTTGAAGTACAAATTACTTCATAGCTTGTGGTTCAATTTTATCCTGATATCTACGAGTATAATAAATTTGCAGCTATGGTAACATTATAGCAAATTATGTGGAATTTATAATTTTCTTGCTAATTATTTCGTCGACAACAATAATCGGCATCTTGCTGTTCATACTTAAAGAAGTACGTATGGAACGCTACTTTTTACAAACGTCATTAATTTCGTCTTTTTAGGCAAGTACTGGAAGTATGGACATTTTTATAACTCAAATATTCTTTTTCCTTACTTGGACTGCAAGGATGTTTTTCTTGTGTAACGGCGGACAAAACGTGGTGGTATTATCAAACGATATACATTCAAATTTGAAGGTACAAATTAATATTGTTGTAATGAATTTAAAGGTAGAAGATTTAGACTTCAGTGTATATGAAAGCGATTGGATTACAGCATCCAAGTCTTACAAGAACTCTATGAAAATTATCTTGATGCGAATGAAAAAGCCATTCTACTTTCGTATTGGAAAATTTGGTCGATTGGATCTTGCATTATACACTCAAGTATGTACAATTTATTTTTGAATTCGTCTTTAAAATGTTAGATAAACTGCACTAAAAAGGATGGTCAATTGGATAACGTACAAAACATAACCCGTTTTCGAACGACCAACACTACCCGTGGGGATTCAAACACGACCACGGATCCTTAGATATACATAAGCATACTCTACTCTAATTATTACGAATTTATTCTAATGGAATACATAAGGAATAGAGTAAGAAAAATAGAAATGATAACACTTGTGTAAATTGCGCGTGATTAATTATATTAGTATTCGGTACTGTAGAAAAAGTAGAAGAAGTGGCCGATTTTAGGTGTCTAGGAAGTCAGATAAATCAGGACGGAAGGAGTAGTAGAAATATAAAAATTCTTTTGTTGAAAGTAAATGAATCGGTTCTTCTTATTTTCGGAGATTTCCTAAAAACACTGCATCTATAGAGTTGTTCGGAACGTCATTTCGTTTTTTCCCGACAGAAGATTTAATTGTATTCTTTTGCACCCAACTTCACATTTAAGCCGTATAATTTTTATATGCTTTGAGAGCTCATATAGCAAGGCTTGTGTGTGAAAAATTCCAATTAATTCTACGCAGTAGTTTTTGGTTGGTGCCCTTTTAAATATGGAGAGCGATAAGCAGCATTTTCGACATATCTTACTGTTTTACTACAGAAAGGGTAAAAATGCTGTTCAAGCCAGAAAGAAATTGACTGATGTGTATGGAGAAGGTGTGTTGACAGTACGCCAGTGCCAGAACTGGTTCGCTAAATTTCGATCCGGCAATTTTGATGTCGAAGATGCACCACGTTCGGGAAGGCCGGTTGAAGCTGATAAAGACGCGATAAAGGCATTAGTTGATGTGAACCGGCGAATAACAACACGTGAGATCGGATTGAGGTTAAATTTATCAAATTCAACAGTTTATGACCACTTGAAAGGCCTGGGATTATCCTCGAAGCTCGATGTATGGGTTCCCCATGTTCTCACAGAGAGAAATCTGTGTCGCCGCATTGACGTCTGCGATTCGCTTCTCAAACGTCACGAAAATGATCCGTTTTTGAAGCGCATCATCACTGGGGACGAAAAATGGGTTGTATACAACAACGTCAAACGCAAGAGGTCATGGAGCAAAAAAGATGAACCGGCTCAAACCATTTCCAAAGCCGATATTCACCAAAAAAAGGTGATGCTGTCTGTTTGGTGGGATTTTAAAGGAATCGTTTTTTTTGAGCTTTTACCGGATAACACAACGATTAATTCGGAAGTCTACTGTCATCAGCTGGACAAACTGAATGATGCACTTCAACAGAAAAGGTCAGAACTAATCAACAGGAAAGGTGTAGTGTTTCACCAAGACAACGCGAGACCTCACACAAGTTTGGTCACTCGCCAAAAGCTTTTACAGCTTGAATGGGATACAATGCTACACCCACCATATTCTCCAGACCTGGCACCATCGGATTATTATTTGTTCCGGTCACTCCAAAATTTTTTAGACGGTAAAACCTTCACCTCAAATGAGGAGGTCAAAAACCTCCTCGATCAGTTTTTTGCCAGCAAAGACCAAAAATTTTATAAACGTGGAATTATGCTACTACCAGAAAGATGGCAAAAGGTGTTGGACCAGAACGGTCAATATATAATTTAATAAAGTATTTGTTTTTTATACGAAAACTGTCTTTCATTTTCACAAAAAAAACGAAATGACTTTCCGAACAACCCTATATTAGCACTGCCTAGGTATTTGGAAAAATTATACGGCTTAATAAAGTATTTGTTTTTTATACGAAAACTGTCTTTCATTTCCACAAAAAAAACGAAATGACTTTCCGAACAACCCTATATTAGCACTGCCTAGGTATTTGGAAAAATACTTTATTGCAATTTAAATAAGGTGCAATACATTTTTTTAAATTCTCAAACCATAACCAGATACCACATACAAATTGTAAAATTGATTAATTAATTAGATGGTAATTATCATTAAAATTAGGTCTATTACTCGTAAGCGATTTTCTATTATAGAATTTACTTTTAAAACATTTTAGATTTTCCATTCCATTTCCTTCAGAAACCACAAACTAACATATGTATAATTATTCGGTGACTGAATTCAGATTAACTATATCATAATCTCCACCACTTCACTTTCATTAAGTTAATGCATTTTTAAAAGTGCCTCTTTTTTTGCAGATTCTAAAAACTGCGTATTCCTTTTTTGCTCTACTACAAAACAAAAAGTCTTAACTAATTAACCTATGATGGCAAATTAACCAGAAATGAATATTCCACATTTGCATTCAACTATTCACTTAATTACACGTATATCCAAAGATCCAAGCACAAAAAAGGTTCACTTACTTTTTAAACTACACTACAAAATATAATTGATTTTTAAAAGTACGTAATCTGTACCTACTTACACCTTGTACAATTATAAACATAAGTAATAGAACAATAAAATCAATCAATCGCATCAGCTTGTGTTTTCTTAAGTCTAATAATATAAAAAAACTACCCAAAAGGGTTCTACATAGTGTCTTTCTACTGTTTAAGTTGCTTTCAAAAATACGTTTTGTGTTTCTATTCTTGATAAAAGCCTCAGCGGTCGAAGCAATATTACAAGTGTTGAAAATCAAAGTCAGTAAGGGTTAAAAGTTTTTAACTAACGTTACGCCCGGAATATAACCCATTTTCTGTACAAATTAAAATAAGGGAAGAAATAAAACAATATTGTAGAGTTGTTAACCATTATACCAAAACACTTTTCTAAAGTACTATAAATATTACTTGAAGCATTATATTTTATTTAGGTAAAAATGTTTCACAAGAACATTATCGGTAAATATATTGATCACTGATCAGTGACACTATGATGTTCAATAATAAAACAGGTCAGTCAATTCATAAAAAATATATACACAAAAGGAATGATGCCCTAGGATCCTGTAAAACTATCGCAATTTATTCGATAAGAACGAGAATATGAATTTCAAAATTTGGTCAACAACAAAAACATTTTTCAAAAAGAATCATTTCAATATTGAAATGACCTTGGCTAGAAAGCTCACAAAGGTCAATCGCCAAAGGTTCATCGAAAGTAAACAGAGACACAAGACAACATGTTTTATAACTGTTGATTCTAAATAGATATGTTTGAACATTTCTTTGCTTACTTAAATAATACAAAATTTATGTTCAAATATTTACTGTTGGATTTAGTGTCTTTGACACCAATGATAAGTAGATATGTTGCGCAAATGTATTTCTGATACTAAGAAGTGATATCTGCAATAAAAAAATAAAAGAAGCCACAAAAAACCAGTCAAATAAATATAGCCTTTTATGCATCACCATTGCAGCTGATTAGTCATGAAAGTGAAGCCTCTAAAAAATACAAGAAACCAGAACGCCTCCAAATTCAAGGATATTCTCCTCTTTTGGTTTTATTACCTTATAAACAGATCAGCAGTATCGTTGTTAAAACAAAGACCCCCTTTGTGGAGTTAGCAACAAGTTAGCTTTTTTGACCTAAATTCTCAGTACCAAATAAATTAATTAGGTACTCATTTCTTTTACATTGATTTAAAATAATTTATTACGTTTCAAAGTAAAACAATCAATAAGTAAAATAAGATACCTTACATGCAATAACAACTGAAACATTGCCAAATTTATTTGGAAGGAATAGATGCCTAGCAACTTAGTGGCCATGAAATATAAAATACAGGGCACTAAAAGAATGTTTAATGGATCAGTTGACTTAAACTCATCTTAAATTATTATTATAAATGCACAGATAATTGTTAGAAACAAATATAAAAAGTGGTAACTCACATTACTAATCTTGACACAAGGGATGAAACCATCTTCACGTTTTCACAAACTGCTCGATAATGTTCAATTTATTAAGTTCATAGGACCAGAAAAAATATAACTAAAAGCACCAGTTGTCGAAAACATGTCGAACAACTACTTTATTTATTAATATAACCACACTGTACGTGGCATTTTATCTGCGTTTTTTCTTCTGTCACATTTTGTACTGAAGCCTTGTCAACAACGAACTACAACACAGCCACAGCACACTAAAATAACTGACAAACCAGGATGCAATTAAATAACATTTGAAGACCATAGGGACATCTGTTATCTCTAACGAAAAGTAATACTATTACAATAGAAGAAATTGTAAGGATATTTATAAATAACATACAATTTACAAAGAAGTGTTCATCTGGAAATCACTTATCGATTGACATAATTATTTAGTTTCCTACGTTACAAAATTCGTTTTAGATGCTACAGAATAACTAAAACTACTTTTAGGTGCATTTACCGTCACGGCAGGTGCTGCCACCACACAGGAAAGTCTAATTTCAAAAACCGAAGCGAATGAGTTCTGCTCTGCTTTTCGTTATATTAAAGGCCACGGAGTGACCACTTACGAATTTCGACGAGTTTGTGCGACTTCAACCGAACCTTTCATTCCTAAGTATTCTTGGGTTGCTCGAGTGTTTCCAACCAGCCCGAAAATCTTTAGTTGATACGTCGCGCGCTATTTTCCGAATTTCAAGTGATGTCCAGTTCTCATATGTTGCGTTGACAGTTGATTGTTGTATGAGAGAAGTGCGTGCGTGTTTGAAATGGCTCTAAAATGTCGAGAAGAAGTTGTCGGAAAACGTTTTTTGTCTGTGAGTGGATGTACGAAATTAAAAATAGACAAAATTCGTGAGTGGGGGTGGAGGTCGGGTGTAATACGTGCCGCCAGTCACAGGGATAACACTAACAAAGATCTACAGGTAAGTGCGTCCCATAAAACACGATTATGTAACTAAATTGAAGATATTCGACGATCTGAATGTTGTTATTGTACTTTTGTTTATATTTTTCTTTTACATATTTATATTTCTACGTGACAGGTCGTTGGGTTTCCTAATACGATAGTAAACAATATAATATTATAATTAGTTAATACCTGTGTTTTTGGTATGCAATTTGAAAATTAAATGTTAACATAACAAACAACAAAGATTGCTCCCACAAAATTTAAAAAATGAAACCAAACAAACTTTTATTCATACTATTTACGTATATAGATATAGGCATAATTACACTTGTGTGCCTGTAAAAATAAGAATTAACATCGGATTCCTGTTTACATCTGGAGTAGTAAACAGGCAGGTGTTTGCAAGTGTGTAACCCTTTTATCGAAGCGATCTTCCAAGTCCGGAGGTCAACGAACGTCCTTTTTGTGTCAACTTTCTCCAACGTTTCTACTCGTGTCTACATTTATTTAGTTCACAAAGATTTAGAACGAGCTGAAACGAAAAATAGATAAAATTGTTCACATACCTTGCATACATTAAACATAAATGTATGTTTACAGTAATTTAGTAATCCTAGTTACGTTATTCAACATATAAGACACACATAAAAAAATGTGATATTTATATTAGAATATTATATCCGAAAAGGTGTTGATTTCAAATCTCAAGGTTCTTCTAAACATAATAGAATTAAACGATTCAGTACTAGCCCAGAGACTACCTGAAAGTCTCTACCTGAAAAGGTACCTGTAAAACCGAAGAAAAAAAACTGAGTACATATTGGGTAGGTATTGCTAATTTGATGCACCCAAAACAACATATCTTCAAAGTCTTGGGTGTTGTACCTGTCAGTGTAACATCAGGTAAAATCGTAATGATGGTAGGTACTATTTTGCCCTAAATCTTTCTAATTACGTAAAACTTTTACTTGAAGGTCTTCCAAACACAAATTGAGTGAACTTATTCATGTTTAATAATTTTAGTTTTAAATTTAAATTTGAATTGCATACGGGAAAACAAGCGTAGATTATTAAACAAACTATGGAGGTTGTTTATTAGAGAAACTGATTTTACGAAAGTTAATAATCCCTACAAAAGATTTAGGTAATTAAGTGAATTTTATAAAAAGTATAGAATATAACATTAAAAAATATATACAAAAGTTATTACTTTTAGAATAGTGTGACAGAGCGACACAATATTTAAAAAAAGTCCTTTATTAAAGTCAACAGATCATGAATTTCCCTTATAAATATGCCATTTTCTGTTCATTGTTACTATATTTAAAGATATGCTTTGTGTGGGTAGATAGGTACCTATATGTTATTAAAAGGAAACGTGAAATAACCAAGGTTCATTCAAGGTTACCCGCAATTATTACGATGGATTACAAAGATTGTAACGTATTTTAAAATAGGTTACCGACTGTACAATAAGTAACAGGAACTTTAATGGTTTACGATAATTATACTAGTGTTACAATAATTATTACGTAATTATTGCAGTTCTTGGAAGAATAGCGGTACAACGTAATCGCATATAATTTATAATAACACCACCTTTTTAATTACAAGTGTTTGCACGTAATTTAATAAAACTGTTGTCGTAAATACAACTCCGCTCAAAGCAATTTTTTTTTGGCGAATAAACAAGTTTTTGTTTTTTTTTATTTAACGACTAATCTGCTTATGAGTTTTTATTAACGTTTAAGAAGATATATTATTTTCTGACGTGTCTGTTGTAAATTCCAGTTGTGTGACTATAAAAAGAAATGTGTAATTTCTATGTTCAGTAAACATTTTACCTTATCTGTCTGTTCAAAATTAGCATAGGTTGTACGCAATAAAACAGTCGCATTTACTTTCTTCTTAGAACGCCTACTTTTAGAAAACATAAACATATAGAAAAGAGATGTCAGATAGGAATTGCAGCGGACACTAATAAAAAAAAAGGAATAACACTACACCAATTAATGTGTAAAAGAAAGAGATGCAGACAAGCAGAATTCGAGTATGTTGTCAGCATCGGACTTTAAAGAAAGCTCAATATTCTCAAGAATGTAGGATGTAGCCTAATGTTTTTCGTATTTAAGCAACCTCCAACCGCTGCACCACATACTATTATTCGATTATCTCTTTTCAGTTTGTCTGTACTACTCATGAAGCATTTCCTAACTTAACGAGAGCGTGTTCAAAACGCAAATAATCACTACAGTTTCAAGTGGAAACAAAAAAAATGATACATCCATTCTAACAAATAATTTATCTATTGCGAACTTTGTCAGTTTTGATCGTCCGAACCCTATTCTTTATTCCACATGTTCGTTCACCAATCTATACATTCATGCGACATAAAAAGTACTGACAAAAAATGCATAATTTCTATGTTCGGTGAACTTTTTACCTACCTATATTCGTATCGAACGACACCTGCACAAAATATAATCTATACTTATTCAGACCTTAAAATTAGCTTCTCTCCACATATTTTCAATAGAAAAGAATTCTATACATTTTGTAATCGAAGTTAATCCAAAAAATGTAATTTTACAAAGTCTAAAAATAACCACACCATATTTCATGCAATCAACATTGTTCAGTTAAGTTAGTAAAAGAATTCACAGAACCATTTATTTAGTTTGATAAATTCTGGCATTCCATTTACATACATTCAAAACACGTGTTCCATATTACCAGTCGCTACACTTGTAATGTATAATAAAAATAGGGGAGGTTGCTCTCACTCTACCATTAGCATTTCTCGTAACGTGCCCGGTTCTTCCGCTTCATTTCATAACGAGCAGATACTTAAAATAGGGGAAGAAATTCGCTACAAAAACTCGTAAACTCATAGCAGGTGCTACACGGAAGGCACCCGAAATTCCGCACATACAATTAGCTTTTTTTGTAGTCTAACCACTTCTTATACTGTTTTTATGCACGCATTAAGTATTGTGTTTACCTATCCTTTGACTGGGTAGGTACACATAAAAACTAGTACACAGAAACAGGTAAACGATACCCAAATGTATAATTGGATCGTTACAAATTGCACATGATACGTAACTGTCTCTAAATTCACTCGTGGATCATAAAATTGTTACGGTGCTGTGACATGATCCCAACTTCAATTTGCATTTTGTATGGGCATTTCGGCGAAAAAGTATGTAAAACAAATGCAGATCAAGTTGCCATTTCCGCATACAGAACAGTTGAACTGTAATTTATGAATTTGTCTGTTGTGACATGTGACCCTGATATCTCCTGTAGGTGTGAGCTTGTGTACGAAATCTTTGCGTAATAACAGTCGTTCGTCGTTGGAAAGTATGGCCGGCGTCTACATTTCAGCGCCAACACACTACGATAACCATGGCAACGAGTCTCACAAACACGGGTTTTTCGAGTTTGGAGGGGAAGGGAATGCGAATCGGAGGCGGTTCTAAACGGCGGCCATGTTGCCACGTTCCATTGTTCTGCACGCTGGCGCCCTCTTTCGTACAAATTACGAATCACAAATGTAAATATTAGCATAAGAAATTAATACGAAATAGTATGGGCAAACGATAAAAAGGTTATTTCCAGAAGGAAACAACTAATTATATTTTATTGGAAAACGAACGAAAAGACGTTTTTCTTGTATCTGGTAGGTAATATAATTTAACAGAATGGCGATTGTAGGAAGTTAGATTTATAAAAACCAATAAATTCTTTATTGTGACCCTTGCCTCAATACTTTAATTAGATTTGTATTAAAATTATAAGCAATTGTTTTTTTTTTCAATTGTTTCAGGTTTTGGTGGAATATGATGGCGTAGAATGGAAACGCAGAGAATGGATAAGTGTGTACGGCACCTCGTTTAAATTGTTTTTCGTAGAACAAGACCTGCTATGGTTTCAAAGGGAGGTGCCTTTCTCATACGACACCCTCCAAGAAAATTCCGATAACGCAACCTCCACCTCCGTCGTTTCATGGCCCGTCATTGTAAGTTTTCCACGTAAAACGTTCTCCTGTAATTCCGATTCAAGGTCACAATGAGTAATATTGCTTTCCCGGAAAGTTTTGCGGCTACGCTTTGGAATTGATTGTACCAAATTGAAAGGTAGCTGTTATAGTGTCAGGAACCCAAAATTTAATTAAAAAAAGACAAGGATGATGGGTCCAATTCTCTTAATACACTTTTTCAGAAACAAAGCAATTTGACCTTTTATGATTCCCATTTTCGAATAATTCGTTGCTGAATAAATAATAAATGGTAATAGATCGAATTTCGAGTAATGTACCTTTATATAGGTACTTATCGTCGTTTTTTCGAATAATTCCAATTAAAAATGTATAGTTTCGTTAGAATTATTATTACTGCTGTTTCTTTACCTTTTTTTGCCTGTGGTTGGATTACTTGGCGTTGGATATAACCTACTTGACGCTATTATCCGGCATCCGCCCGGATACCTACCAAAAAAGCATCATATACAAACCTAGTAATCCTCCCATGTCAAATGTAGATAAACAAATAAATACGTCCTTGCAATATACGAATATCAATGCAACTTACGATAGTTATCATTTATTTTATTTAATTATACACCTGATAATACATAGAGATAGCATTAAAATTACTTTCAATTGTTTACGCGAATAGCCATAATTCTTCCGCGAACAATATAGGTATGTATACCGTTGTAGGTAATGGAAATACGGTTGATGTACGATTGTAATCTTTCCAACAATGCCGTTCTTAAAGGGGATAGATCACTCGACGCGAAGCGAAACAAATTAAAGGCAACCGAAGCGCTCACTCACCGATCTATCCATCCGCATATCTGTCTGTCTCGCAATCGTTCGTTCTCTCTCCATTCTTCGGCCGATCGTGTTTCGTTTTGTTGCTTTGGCAAGCGAGTTTGTAGTCATTTGACGTCGCCGTGACGTACGCGGGGCAAGGGGAACACGAAGCGTGTTCCACCGTACAATAATAATAAGCAACTTTGCATTGTTGGGTTGTTCGCCACCGTCTAATGACGAAGGTCGTCGCTTGGAGTTGGAGCAAGACAAATTGTTTTTCGTACACAACAAAAAACACGCCGATTACTGCATGTCATTAATATTTGCGCTTGTTTGCTGGAACTTACGTGGGGGGGGGAGGGGGAAACTGACTGACTCACTTATACATATATGTATATGTATAACATCAGAATAGTCTAAATGCTTACACAAAAGAACAAAAAAATTAAAAAAGGAATATCAACAACGAAAGATTTTCATTTTTGTGTTTCAGACATTCACTTCTTTAATTTCGTCTGTTGTTCTGCCTTCTCATCTCTATCCCGCTGAATGCCTCGTGGATCGAGAGCTTGTGTTCATTGATTACGATAAATTGGAAACTAAGCCATTGCAGGTAGGTACTTTTAGTTATAATGTCGTGCAGCGAATAAAAACGTAAGAACAAGGCCCACCAAAAGTTCATGCATATGGGTAGTATTCCATGTATTTCTTCATGGTGGAATCATACAATCAATTTCAGTATCCTGCTCGAATGACAATATTTAGCTTCACATTTTTTCGGTTTCTAGTTACTATTTATCTACTTGAACAACCAAGTTCATAATGACCAGTAATTTGTCGAAACTGTCAGATGCGAATCGCGATTTAGATCTAATTGTATCTCATCAGCGCGTCATAAACAATTTCGATATAACACAGACCCACTCTCTCTATCTGCTGCCTTAAGACAGAGTTTTATCAGTTACCACAAACAGCATGGTAAACGTCATCTATAGTATGTATATTGCAACATTTATCGTTAGTGGAATTGAAAAAAAATTGAACAACATCCATTTCTCTGGATTTTTATTAATAGTTAAAGATTAGATTGTTTAAAAAAATTAAGTAGGTACCTAACAATTAAATAGTTTTGGGAGATACATTAATAATAAATAAAATTGGATACAAATGGATCGATTTAAAGCCAATAGAAAAGAATAAATAATTTGCGTTGAGAAAATGACTTTCTGAAAATGATCGATTTGCTGTTAGTGTTGCAATCTGCAATGTAACAGATGATGTTGAGAAATCGATAGGGTCATGTAAAGTGATTTATTGCACTCTAGGGCAGCCTTATACAATCGAGCTCGACGAAATTACTCCGATCGCCAAGGCTTCCAAGAGATTCTAATTCCAATGATTTGTTAACCTTCTTCTCGGTATTACGGTTGTTGAATCTATTGAAAATAAACTCTGAGCCATCTAAAGTGGCGGCTTAAGTAATGAAAATTCCAGAAGATTATTTTGTTGAGCGGGTAGCATTCGCAGAAATAAGAAAGTCTTGCCGAATTTTATCTAGTGACAATGTTAAGGGACAAGAATCCTTTTTGAGTTTATCTTTGCAGCTGAAATTTAGTAAAAATGTTGTACTATAGTTGGGACATTTAAAATTAGCATAGTCCGCAATAAAACTGTCGCATTTACGACAGACGTTGTAGGGAGTGTCGTAAATATAGAAAAGAGATGTCAGATGGCAATTGCAGCGGACACTAATAAAGAAGAAAGAATATCATTACACCAATTAATGTAATAGAAAGAGATTCAGACAAGATGAATTTGAGCATGTTGCCAGCGTCGGACTTTAAAGAATGTTCAACATTCTCAATAATTTAGAAAAGCAAAGTCGCTTATTTAAAAATGTAACTGGAACCAGGCAGTTATAAAGCCGACCCTGACCTCTTGCGTACCTAAGTAACTTCTAAAGGTTGCACCGCTTACTATTATTCGGTTATCTCTTTTCACTTTGCCTATGCTACTCATGGAGCATTTCCTAACTTAACGAGGGCGTGTTCAAATGAAGTAAGAAACAAGAAGGAAAATACGTTCATTCTTACAGATAATTTATGGTGGACTTCGCCAATTTTGATCGTTCCAACTATACCTGCGTATCTCCCTTATTTCGATAAAAGAGAGAATACACCTTTCTGAAAGTTTTCAAACTATATTTATCTTTGTAAGCTGAGGTACCGTAAGGTTGTAATTGCACTTAGAGACTTAGACTTGAGCCAAGGCGATCTATTGTTGGTAGTTTTATTGCATGAGCCGCCACATTAGATCGCTCAGAGTTTAGTTTCTTATTCTATCGTGAATGTCTTATACGTTGCAATGTGTATCTGGCGTCCAATGCAGGCATTTTAAATTTGGGTTATGTATTGTTATATATTCATTTGAATTTATACGAAAAGAGAAAGAATATATTTATTTAAGAGATTTGTAGGTAGATATACATATGTAGTCTTCCTTAAGTCTACAGTATCATTTGGGTATTTTTTCAGAATTATATTCATGTTCAATTTTACATAATCAGCTTTACCCTTTTATTAGGCCACGCCTTAAGTGTATCCGCTGATCTGAACTACTGAACTGCGATTAATTTTTTGTTTTCCTGTTGTATTTCCTCAGGCGTATAATTCAGGATTTAGCATGTTCTCTTTAATTTGATTTAGGAAATACCAATTAACAAGGAATGTTTGGAAGCGAGGACTGCAGTTAAGCGATGGCATGAACAACAAGATGGTCAGAAAATTCTTCTTACCACCCCAAGTGTCTTAGTAGGCTATCGCGTTGAAGTTTACAGATCTCAGGGAACCACACAGTGGTATACTGCCGTCATAATCGGTTACAACGAAACTACAAGGGTAAGTCTTTGTTGTATACAGGTCAGGCAAAACGTAACCGAACATAGTACCTATTTGCACTTTTTTTTTGTCGTGTGGAATAAATTTTTTTAACTACGTCTATTTGAAAATACCTCTTATTTTTCTGGAAAATGTCTTTAACTAACCGAATTTTCATATCGTTCAAAGGAAGAAAAGGGGGGGGTTGTAATTCCTCGAACAGAATTACTCGTGTATTATGGATCAGTTTGATTGATCGTCACCATCATTATAGAGTCGTCAGTCTTAAGACTGGTTGGACACGCAAATCCACTTTTTCCTAGCCTGAGCTAATCTAGATCTACCTCTACACTTCTTAACTCGTAGTTCTATCTCTGATTTGTCTGTAACTAGTCCTTCATACCTGAGAAGGTGTCTCATAATTAGGACGTTCAAAATTGGCATTTATTTTCTTCTTTTAACTTACTAACTAGATTAGATCGGTTGCTGACAGAACGTCCACTTTTACTCAGGACAGACGTTGTAGGGTTGTCGTAATCACAGAAAAGAGATGCCAGGTGGGAATTGCAGTGGACGCAGAAAGAGATGCAGACGAGCAGAATCGGACTTTTATAAAAGTTTAACATTACTTAACATAACATTATTTTTCGTACCTAAGCAACCTCTATTCGCTAAACCGCTTACTCTATTATTTGGTTATGTCTTTTCACTTTGTCTGTATTACTCATAAAGCATTTCCTAATTTAACAAGGGCGTGTTCAAAACGCAGAGAGTGACTACAGTCTCAAGTGGAAACAAGAGAGAAGATACGTCCGTTCTCACAGATAATTTATTACAATCTGTCAATTTTGATCGTACCAACTATACCAATCTATCTCGCCTTTTTCTTATTGACTTTCATGGCGCCCTGTGTTCTCCTACTCATTTTAATACATTCTCAATTCTAACCTTCTAAAAATATTTGTACGAATCTTCCCATAACACATTGTATTTTTCAAAAGATAATGTCCCCCTGTGATTATTGCATGTACAGTCCATTTCAATTTGTTAGAATTGTGACCTTGAAGAAATCTGTACGAAGATAGAAAGAATACACACTAGGCGTGAACAAGACAGAAATAGTTGGAACAAGCTTGAACGAGCAGAGCTCTCGATGGGCGGTCTTAGGAGATCTGCTAGAACTGTACAGTACTAGACGAAAATGTTCAGCAATTTCTTAAAACAAAAATGTATATAAATTAACAATAGAAAACAAAGCAAAAGTTTTATAGGTGTGTAGA